GGATCATAACAAACTGTGGCTGACTCTGAGAAGAATGAGAATCCCAGAATACTTGATTGTGCTAATGTGAAACCTATACTTGGACCAGGAGGCAATAGTCACAACAGCGCAAGGAAACACTACATTGTTCAAAAGCCAGGGATGTATCCTATCTCCATACATTTTCAATCATTATGTAGAACATCTTTTATGGGAGGCTGGGCTCTATGAGGATAAATGTGGCATCAGGATTGGAGGAAGACTCATCAACAATCTGTGTTATGCAGGTGACACAACCCTGCTTGCTGAAACTGAGGAAGACCTGAAGCACTTGCGGTAGAAGGTGAGGGACTGCAGTCTTCAATATGGACTGAGGCTCAATATCAAGAAAACAAAGATTGTCACCACTGGGCTGATTGGCAAAATCATGATGGATCGTGAAGAGATTGAGATTGTTCACAGTTTTAGCTTACTTGGCTCCACAGTCAACAATCTTGGCATCCACAGCCAGGAAATTAAAAGATGTATTGCTATGGAAAATTCTGCAGTTAGAGACCTCTCTAAAGCACTGAAGTGCAACAATGTCAGTCTGGAGATTAAGGCACCTGATACATACCATGGTCTTTGCAATCATTTGCTATGCATCAGAGAGCTGGATACAAGGAGAATTGATGCCTTTGAGCTGTGGTGTTGGAGAAGAGTATTGAATATACCATGAACTGCTAAGAAAATAGACAGATTTGTCCTGGAGAGGGTGAAGCCAGGCTGCTTCTTAGAGGCAAGCATTCTGAAGCTTCATCTGAGCTACTTTGGACATGTTGCATGGAGCAACCAGTCCTTGGAGAGGGACATTATGCTTGGGAGGGTGGAGGGACAGTGCAGGAGAGGAAGACCCTCGATGAGATGCATTGAACCAGTGACTGGGGTAATGGGGGTAAGTGTGAGAGATAGTGAGATTGACACAGGATAGGGTATAGTTTAGGTCTGTTGTACATAGAGTTGTTATGAGTTGCAGGCAACTCGATAGCACATAACAACAACAACAACAGCTATTGCACTGCTGGAAATATACCCCAAGGAAAATAAAGCTGAGACACAAAGCGAGATTTGTACATCAATGTTCATTGCAGCCTTATTCACAATAGCAAGGAAGTAAAAACAGTTCAAATCTTCCTCAACAAATGAATGAATTGTGAAATTTTGGTACATAAAAACAACAGAATATATGCAGCATGAAGAAGCAACAATTTTGTGAAATTCTTCATAACATGGGAGAATCTAAAAAGCATTATGTTGAGTGAACTCAGTCTCATAAGGACAAATACTTCATTAGACCAATATTGTATAAATAGAAGAAAAACTAGTGAGATGTAGAGATTTGCATTCACAGCTTTTTCTACCCAAGGTCATTTTATGCAGTGGTCATGATCTATCCACTCTTCCTTTTCTACCCGTAATCCCCCATGTCAGTCCTATTTTATGACAGCAGTGATATGCAGTGTTTGTCTTTTTGTGGCTGAAATATTTCACTCAGTATAATGTCTTCCAGGCTTACCCATGTTGTATAATATCCATTACAAGTTCATTGCTCTTCAATGTTGTATAATATTCCATCTGTGAATATACTACAGTTTTTCTATCTGTTTGTTTGTCGATGGGCAGTTTGGCTGCTTCCATCTCTTTGATATTGTAAACAATGGAGCAATAAACGTGGGTGTGCCTACATCTGTTTGAGTCACTGCTCTTTTTTCTTTAGGGTATATTCTCAATAGTGGGATAGCTGGGAAGGATTGTCTGAAAGGACTGTATAATTAGGGATTTTATGTATTACAGCAATCTGGAGCAATAATTACATTACAAAGTGGACTGGAAAAGGAAAAGGAAGCGGAAGGGAGGAAATCTGCAACAAAGAACTCACCCACTCTGTAAACTTTAATGAAAATCACAATTAAATAAACTAAAAAAAAGAAATTAAAAAAATCAAAAGGCTATTCAGATTACTCCAGAGCTATCTTCCATTCTCTTCAGAACCTAAATAAAAAGAATAAATAAAAAACAGTGTGATGAGCATAAAGCAGTCATGTTCTCACTAGTGAGGCACATTGATAGATGGGCTGGAAGGAGTGAAAAATAATGAAATGTTTCCTTACTGGTATAGAGAGTTGTAATACACCAAGGCACTTCTCTGCTTCGTGTTCCTTGTACCATTAGTTAACTGATTCTTAAAAGTTAACCCTTACCCAATGCTAAATGAATGCAGAACAATGAAATTGGAATATAATTTGGTTTTCTTGGCATATTTTTCAGTCCAAATTCCCTCCACATCAGTAGCTGGAGAATGATGCTATCTTTTTCTCTAGGTCGCTGTTGCAGCAAGAATTCTCCTGTTTTAATGGGTCTGCTTATAATCATGAGTTCAGCCAGTGTAATCTGTGGGCTCATTACCTATCTGCATCTCAAAAAAAGAGGTAAGCATCATCAAAATACCGATACCTTCCTCGGGGGATGAAGGAGGAAATCTTTCCAGAATGCCCAGTGTCTGGTATGACATTCATTTTAAAAAAAAGAGTGATACTTGTTGGAACTATATAACAATAAACATGCATTGCAGGACTTGGATTTCAGTCTGAATTTTATGGATTTATTGATAAAAGCTGCTGGTGCTCCTCGAGAGTGGGTATTAGTTTTCTAACAGAATAATAAAAGCACTTTCTTAGATTTGGCTGTTCCAAAACATCCATTCATCATTCTGTCTACTAAAATATACCAATTATATGCTCTTTGAGAGAAATGTGGGCAGTCTCCTCCCTTGTGAGGAAACCTGCTGAAGAGTCAGCTATGAGTCATTTCCAACTCCATGAAACATAAAAACAACCAAAATTAGTATTTTTTTAGCCTACCTCATTCATTGTCATTGAGTTTGAAATGAGCAATTGACTTTCCATTGAGTTTCTGAGGCCATAAAGTAAGAGCGCCCACTTAAAATAATTTGTGGGAGAAAGATAGACACACTTCTCCCCTTACAATTTGCATCCTCTAAAAAAAAAAAAAAACAAAACGGACCTGCTGGAGCAACAGACATATCGACAAAGAAATGATCACCATTGTAAAGCAATCTTTTTTTTTAAGTTGGTGCTACAGCAAAAAATCACAATGCAGGAATCACAAAGTAGGGTTGAATTATTTAGAAAATCTAATTTTTTAAATTTTCCTCCTGTGATGGTAGGCTGGTGATATTGTGTATTTCTTACTTCAACAAAGTCCACACCTGAGCATTACTAGTACATAACTGGAAGACTAAATGCCACATAGGGAGCTCTGGTTCCCTAGTGGTAAGTAGTGGCACTGCCAACCCAGAGCCATGCAATTCAAAACAACCAACTAATCTGAAGGAGGGAGAGAAACATTTTCCTCCGATGTAATTATTTCTGAAAACATCGTGGAGGATTTGCTATGGGTTGATGCTGACTCAATGGCACATAACAAGTGCAGCAAATACTACTTAGAAGAAAAAGAGGAAAAATTAGGTGTCTTCCTCTTAGAAGTCTTAGAAGAAAAGGAGGAAGACAATAGAACAATAGCTAATATATATAATTGATGAAGTCATTGGCAGTTTCAACATTTTCTCTATTATGATGTTATATCAACATAGAGAGTGATCAGCTGGCCCAGTGGACTGAAAGCGATGCAACCAAGCCAAAGTTGGGTGACTTTTAGTCTGCAGCCCTCGGGCCTGTCTTTCATTCTTTTTGTTCAAACATTCCTCTAGGTTGCATAGCCCTGGTGTGTCCACTTGCCGTACAGCAGTAACTTGTGGTTGCTGTGAGGCTGAACACTGTGACACTGATGTGTCAAATGTGTTAATGGTTGGTTACCCATTGTGGACAGTGTTGGGTGAAACTTCCCGATTAAAACAAGATTGGAAGCAGGAGCAGCATCCACTTCCATAGTAGCTTGCCTACAGAAACCCTATGAACCTAGAGAGAGGATGAGAGACACACAAATGTTGAGGACTCTCCTTCATAGGAGACTCGACGGCATTTAACAACAACAACAATGTGATGATGCTATCCAACAGTCCAGTGGTGAGAATATTTGCTTTAGTCTAATATATGGATTATGCAAGCTCGATGCTAAAAGATTTGAGGCTGTCAGCCTATTGTCATCTGAGTCCTCTTTTTCACTTAGAATTTTATTAATTATTCCAAACTATTATTTACACAAGACAGAGTTGAGAATTTTCATCTCAGTACCCTAACCTTGCTATCACTGTTATATGGTGGCCTAGTGGCAAGAAGCTGGGCTGCAATCCCAAAGGCACATGGTTTAAGGCCACAAGCTGCTCTATGGGAGTAGGATGAGCAACCTCCTCCCTTTCAATTAATTGCCTCTGAAAACACACCAGAGGGTCAGTTCTATATTGGTTCTGAATCTATGGCATACAACAGCAACAACTACTACAAATCCATGTTCCTGAAGACTCACACATTCCATGTTTCAATTACTAAAAAACGCTTGCAGCTGTTTTTCTTCATTTTGTTTTCTTTCCATTCTGGGCTCTACCTCTAATAGTATATGTATCCATGTTCCTCTATGCTCATAGGATTTTCAGAGATCGATGGCTAATCCTGCTAACTAGTTTGTCTTAATATAGGAGCTCCACTCCACTAAAACTTATCCACCATGGGTTGAACATTTGCGTTTGACACAGTGGTGGCAAAACTTTCAGTATCATAGCAACCCACAAGTTACATCAGTGTAGGAAACTGACAGACAAGTACTGTATTAATTAGCACAATGAGCATCAAGCAAAAATACAGATAGCCAAGCTAAAAAGTAATTAGTGATATGAAGATAAATTTCCCAATACAATAAACAGAAAGATTTCCTTTTCACAATTTAGGAGGCTCCATATTGAAATCCCAGGTATCATCTTTAAAAGAAGACTTTTTCTGATGGTTCTGGAGGAAGATCCTTATCTCTGAACCATATTACTGTGCCTTAGTGTCTCTGCTCTTACAGCAGATAAGGCACACTAAATAGAATGTGGCAGGGCCCATCTGAACCTGTGTGTCAGGATGGGGCACTAGGTGGAGGGATCATTCACCCCACCACACTTTTCCATACCCTCATATAAACCCAAAAGATATGAAGCTGATGCATATTATGACTCGATTATTCAACTCAAGGTGATTGCTTGTGAAAGGGTAGAACTACTCTGTAGAGTACAGGCATTACAGACACCAGATCATTCTCCTGCAGAGTTACTGGGTGAATATAAACTGCCAAACTCCTAGTCATTAATTGAGTGCTTAATTGTTGTATCAGCACTGCTCCTTGGCACTTGAAAAGTAAGTCTATTATATATCTATCTTTTTTCACTGATAACCTTTCTAATTTTTGCATCTTTTCCCAGTTCCTGTTTCTGACCCAAATTCTCCGTTGTATATTATGTGGTTGGAAGATATATCTGTTATCCTGTGTATGCTGATGGTCGTCATCATTGTCCCCATCTGTTTTATTTACTTCAGATTGAGAGGTAAATGGAATGAGACTATGATAACTCAGTTGGCATCATTATTCTCTCTGCTTTCTAGATCTAAAAGGGCTCACAGAACCTTGAGAACTGGGAAAAATCTATATATTATATAAAGACTTTGAGACGGTAGTATTTTTTAAAGCTCATGGTTATTCAACGGGTCCTAGTGTTAGGGTTCCAAACACCAAGGAAAATCTCAGCTGCCACTTTATAACTGTGACAACTCCATCAGGTAACCTTGGAAGACTCAGCTCTGCTTCATCCAGAAACACTTATTAATTATTTTTTATCCTATATGACGACTTGAGGTTGCAACATCATATTTTTCTCATTAATACGAAACTAATTCATCAAAAGAGTCTTAAATAAGAATTGAATCTCAACACAAGGAAAAATTTTCACAATCAGATTAATAGGTAACACCATGATACATGGAGAAAATATTGAAGTATTTAGGATTTCATTTTACTTTGATCAGCAACAAATAAAAAAATCTCTGGAAACAGTAGACAAAAAAATTAAAAGATTGGAGCTCTGGTGGCCTAGTGGCAAGAAGCTGCACTGCAATCCCAGAGGGGCAACGTTCGAAACCACCAGAAGCTCTGCCGGGGAAGGAGGGACAATCTCCTCCTGTACCAGTCATATCTGATCTGATGGTACACACACAGACAAATAATAAAATAAAAATTAAAAGAAAAGAAATTAAAAGTTTGCATTAGGTACATCTGCTATTAAGGACTTCTTCAAGAATAGAGAGGAGCAAGGATGTACTTTAAAGACCAAATCATGGAAATTTTTTTTTGGTGAGAAAAATTTGTGTTTAGAATTAGCCCACTGGACTCAGTTTAGATGATCACAATTTTGTTGGCAACATCCAAAGCATCATAATCAGGAGCAAGTCGAACATAGGCCTTCTTCCCTCCATCAGGCCTAATCAAAGTGTTGACCTTAGCCACATCAATGTCATAGAGCCTCTTTACAGCTTGTTTAATCTGGTGCTTGTCGCCCTTGACATCCACAATGAACACAAGTGTGTTGTTATCTTCTATCTTCTTCATAGCTGACTCAGTGGTGAGGGGAAATTTGATGATGGCATAGGGGTCAAGCTTGTTCCTTCTGGAGGGGCTCTTCTGGGGGTATGTGGACTGCCTTCGGAGTCTCAGCGTCTTAGGCCGCCAGAACATGGGTGACATGTTGACATGTCAATGTTCTTTTTTTTGGCTGTGGACGCCCTTCAGGACTGCCTTTTTGACCTTTAACGCCTTTGCTTTGGCTTCAGTTTTGGAAGGGGCAGGAACTTCCTTCTTCACTTTCGGCTCCATCTTTGTAGAAAGGCCAAATTATGGAATTTTAAATTGCATTATGTGTATTTGAAAGTTGGGAAATGATGCTTCTGAATTGTGGTGTTAATGAAAAGTACTGGATATACTGTGGACTGCTGAAAGAACAAATCTGTTTTAGAAGAAATATAGTCATGGTGCTATATAAAGATGTAAAGGTGATGGGACTTAATCTCAAATACTTTGGGCATGTTATCAGGAGAGGCAAATTGAGGGGCAAGAAAAAGACATGATTCTTGGAAAGGAGAGGGTGAGTGAAGTAAAGAAAGCAGATAGCCCCTAGAGATAAACTAGTGCAGTTGGAGGACCTGGCTGCCACAGGCCATTCCACAAACCAACGAGAATAGTACAGTTTAAGAGTGGGAGCTGCAATCACGTGAGAGACTCACTCTTACAGCCAGAACATTGAAGTAAAAGGTAGGGAGCTGTCTGCAACCTCCCTGGACAGAAACTACTTAAGTTGGAAAACCTGGTCTTGCCACTCTGGATAAAATAGAGGACAGTAGACTTCAGGAGAGGGTAACTACAATCAGGTGAGAGACTCGCTCTGTGTCAGTACACTGAAGTGTTAGGGAAGGACGGGCTTGCAACACCCTTGGAGCAAAACTGCTCGAGTTTGGAAACATGGTCACTACAGGGCCACTTCACAGACAGAAGAGGATAATAGACCTTAGGAGAGAGGGCTACGATAAAGTGAAATCCCCACAGGGCTGCACTACAGACCAAAGAAGACCTGAAGAAAGTTAGGAAAGGCAAACTTTTCTGCTCCACAGGCCCAGGAAAGTATTCCAGTACCATGAGTTGTCAACCCACACAGATGGAGCATTTTAAACCTGCAGCAAATCAATCACATCATAAAGGTAAAGAACTATCAACAACAACCTACACAGACACAGTAGAAATGGCCCAACACACACCAAGACAAAACTTCACATAATGTCAAAAAAGAAGCAAGCAGCTTCAGATATTGTAAAAAACAAAATAATCCTTCTCCTAAAAAAGTAGAGCATATTGCAAACCAAATGAATACCCTAGAGATGAGGAGTTAGAAGAAATATATTGATGTGGAGTCATACAAACAGCTACTGAAGAAGGTACAAATTATGAGAAAATGCACAGAAGGAATTAAGAAGTGAATACCCTAAAGTCAGGGAACCAGAAGAAGTCTAATGCTGTGGAATTATATGAACAGCTACAGAAGGAGGTGCAAATGATGAAAGAAATAATGGAAACGATAAATAAATAACCCAGAGACAAGGAGCCAGAGAAAATATACCCATACAGAGGAACGTGAACTACTATGAAAAAAAAATGTAAAAGATAAACAAAAGAATTGAAACTATAGATAAAGAGGTAGAAGAACTTAAAAAAAACCACAAAAAAAACCCATCACAAGACAAAGAAGGTATAGCCAATAAACTACTGGAAAGAACAGAAATGCATGAAAATGCAATCCAGAATATCAAGACCCAAATGGCAGGAGTTTTTTCAACATGCTAAGGGACAAAAAAGTAGAAGTAGTACCGAAAGATGGAACAGAGAGTCATTAACCTGGAAGACAAGGACCTTAAAGGGAACACACTAGAAGAAAAAACAGAAAGGACTCAAAAATAAAATAAAACATTAGAATCGTGTGGGATAACATCAAAAGGAACAACATATGTATAATCATAATTACAGTACACAAGTGGGACAGGGAAAGCACTGAGAAACTTTTGGAAGAGGTACTAGAAGAAAACTTTCCAGGTATTATGGCAAATGAGGAAATCTACATTCAGGAAGCTCAGCAAACCCCAAACAGATTAGACTCCAAAAGAAAAACAGCAAGACATACAAATTCCACAATGTCATAAAATTAGAAATTAATGACAAGACAGTACACCCATGTGGAAATTAAATAATACCATGCTAGAACACAATTGAGTTATAGAAGATACAAAAAAGGAAATTAAAATGTTCTTCAAAACAAAATAAATTAAAACACACATACAAAAACGTCTGGGATACAGCTAAGTCAGGCCTAAGAAAGTGGTTCATAGCAATAGGAAAACACATAAAAAAGGGAAAAAAAGAAGCAAAATCAATGATCTAACATATCCATCAAATGAAAAAAAGAACAATAAACTAACCCCACAGCCTCCAGAAGAAAGGAAATTATAAGGACAAGAGCTGAAATCAATAAGATAGAAAACAGAAAAACAATTGAAACCATCAACAAGACCAGGAGCTAGTTCTTCAAAAGGGTCAATAAAATTGACAAGCCATTGCTAAATTAAGAAGAGAAAGAGAAGACACAAATGACCCAAATAAGAAGTGATAGAAGTGGCATAACAACAGAACCAGATGAAACTAAATCAATAATAATGGAATATTAGAAAAGCTATACTCTGATAGAGTATAATGCGTTAATGATTGGTTACCGAATGCGGACAGAGAGTGGGGTGGAGCTCCGAATTAAAACAAGCTTGGAAGGAGAAGTGGCATCCACTTCCATAATAGCTTGCCTCCGGAAACCCTATGAACCTGGAGAAAGGATGAAAGGCACCCAAGTGTTGAGGACTCTCCTTCATAGGGTTGCTATAAGTCGCCTGTGACTCCGACTCGACGGCACTTAACAACAATAACATCAACATAGAGAGGGAGATTAGCTGGCCCAGTGGACAAAAAGCGACGTTACCAAGCCAAAGGTGGGTGACTTTTAATCCGCGGCCCTCGGGCCTGTCTTTCATTGTTTTTGTTCAAATATTCCTCTAGGTCATATATAGCCCTAGTGTACAAGTTGCCTTACAGAGGTAACTTGTGATAGCTGTGAGGCTGAACACGTGACACTGATGTGTCAAATGTGTTAATGTTTAGTTACCCAATGCAATAGGACAGAGAGTGGGGTGGAGCTCCTGATTAAAACAAGCTTGGAAGGAGGAGTGGCATCCACTTCCATAATAGCTTGCCTCCAGAAACCCTATAAACCTGGAGAGAGGATGAGAGACACCCAAGCGTCAAGGACTCTCCTTCACAGGGTCACTATGAATCACCGGGGACTTGATGACACTTAACAACAAAAACAACATACTCTGATAAATTTGAATGCTAGAGGAAAAGGGCAAATTCTTTGAGACTCACACCCTGCCCAGATTGACATGCACAGATGTAGAATAATTGAACAGACCCATCACAAAAAAATAAATTGATCAAGTCGTAAAAAGGCTCTTAAAAAATAGTACTGACCTAGATGGCTTCATGGCTGAATTTTACCAAACTTTCAGAGAAGATCTATCACCAATTGTACTTATTTTTAAAAATAGAAAAAAAGGAGGAACACTCCTAGTCATTCTATAAGGTAAGGATAACCCTAATGCCATAACCAGGCAAAAACAGTAGCAAAAATGAAAACCACAGACCAATATCTCTCACAAACATAGATGCAAAAATCCTTAATAAAATTCTGTCCAATAGAAGTCAATATTACATTAAAAAGCCCCAATTCACCGTGACCAACTGGGACTTCTAG